GAGCATCCAGTCACTAGAAGGAAAACTGGAAGCAGGCCTGTTGGGAAGGGCCCTATCAGATTATGTTGGTCACCACCTTGGCCATTAGAATAGCAGAGAGAGGAACCTGGATCCATGTTACCCACTGCAAGAAGGTAAGACCACATACAAGCACCACTTAGCACACGCAGAGTTGAAGAGCAGAACTGGGCCACAGGGTCCGGGGGTCACCTCTGTCAACGAAGATCTCCTACCCAGACCTATCATCACTGTAGTGTGTTCCTAGGGTGTGAGTATGGGGTGGTACCGAGCAGAAGGACTCAAGACAGGAGAGGGTTGGCGGTTTTTGGGAATATGGGTGACCCTGAGCTGCATCATAGTCTCGACAATAGCCGTGGTATGTCAAGATCCACCACCACCTCGCACCAATTACGCCTTACCATTATTACGAAATAAAAGGGAAGCGACCCGACATACTGACCGTCAAGGGCGAGTGATGTACAAAATAGGAGTCAGAGAAGGGTGGGGAGTAAGATTCAAAATTAGGATCAGGTATCTTATCAGGGCAGATAAGCAAGCAACGTGGGATTATTGTATTTATGTTCAGCTCCCTCTACGGATTGTTCCTGGGCTCAGGTATTTAGACATACTGGGGGACGGAGAGATGAGACGGGGGGGGGGGGGGGGCTGGACGTCCAGATGGAGGATAAGAAGGTATAACGACATCCCCACGGAGATGGTAGTAACGATAGTAAAAGTCACTAGAGGACATGAAAAGAATTTACTGGGCTTGCGCGGACAAATACGGATGGGATACTTGTCTAAGATTACATTTGATGGAGTCAAAAGATATGGAAAGCACAGGTACTGTCATTAATCCACTAACAGCAATAGACCGAGTAAATCAGTCAAGGGATGACGGAGTCAATTCGAATAACCCGTCCACTATGAAAGATTTTCTCCTCCAAGAATGGAACAATGGGGAAGTGGAGGGGGTCCCTGATGAGAATCTCTGGTTAAAGTGGATGAAATACACCGCTAGGGCCTTGGGGGAGACCAATTGTTATGCATGCTCCATTGGGGGACAGACAATGTTGACCGCCCCAATGCCAAAGGCAATGTTTCCCTGTGTATTAGACCTGGGGTCCAATCAAAAAGAGCCAAATTGCACAGGGATTGGGCTGGCAAAATTGACATACTCGGCCAGCCCACCTAGATTCACTTTAACTCCTGGCAAATGCCAGTGTTACAGACATAGAAATGGCACCCATAACTTGGGTGATTTTGATGGCTGTAAGGAGATAATTAATGTGACTGATTTAGAAAAGGAAGGGAGGGAAAAAATTAGGAGCCTAACCATCCCTCTGACTGATGTGTGGTGGGCATGCACTAACAAAGGGAGCATTCGGCAGACATTACCAGAGGGATGGGTGGGTACTTGTGCACCAGTATTGTTGGTCCAACCTGTAAGAATTAGTCATCAAAGACCAGTGAAAGGAAGAATAATCAGGAGGAGGAGAAATATAGGTCAGGAAGGAAATAGCCCAATTTGGATAGATGGTATAGGCATCCCCAGGGGTGTTCCAGACGAATACAAAGCTATGAATCAAATATGGGAGAGTTTTACTACAAAATTTTTCTGGTGGGTGACAATAAACAAAAATATGGATTGGATAAATTATATCTATTACAACCAACAACGATTTATTGACCAGACTAGAGATGCAGTAAAGGGGATCTCTGAGCGATTATCCTGCCATCCCGCTCATAACATAGTAGAGGTTGGTTCTAGATCAGGCAGAAAGGGCCGGTGTCTATAGAAAGATAAGCCATTGTTGCATATTTATCCCTAACAACACCACACTGGATGGGACAGTCACCAGAGTTCTTACAGAATTAACTGCACTAAGTGAAGGATGAACTGAACTCAGAAGTTAATACATTGTGGATAGGGTGGTTTGATGATATATTTGGTAAATGGAAAACCCTAGCAGCCACCATCTTAGGAGCGATCAGTGTTTGTATGGGTATTCTTGTATTATGTGGTTGTTGTCTTGTTCCCTGTGTCCGAGGATTGGTGAGTCAGGCGTTGGTGAAATGCAGTATCTAAACAATGATGAGAAATGGACTGACTCCGGACTCTGACCAGGGGAATGTGAAAAACGATCCTCCAGGCTTGGTGGATGACGAGGATTTGGACCCTGAAAGACCGCAATTGGATGAAATGTTTATTAGTTCTGATGTGATCTCTGAGATTAATCATGCTTGTAAAATACATTTATCCTGAATGTGGGAATATTTAGTCAAAGGGGTGGATTGTTAGATTAATTTGGATTTTAAGAATAATGACTAAAGGATTTCACCCCAAACACAGTATAAATGTTAGAATTATCATGTAGTGTCAACCCACTAACAGAGGGGGCGGTACTAAACATTCAAGGGGGAAGGCGGAAACTGTTTAGAAAAGTCACCTAAAGGTGGGAGGAGTCAAGTCCAGGAGGAATAAAATCTTCGGTTTATGTCTTTGGCGGGAGAGCTCTCCATGAATAAACATACAACAAATCCTTCTTCGTGGTTGTGGACCTTGAATCATTGATGATTAAAACCAGAGCCTTACAACCTCTGGTAATGATTCAAGCTTAGGTTGAATTAGAGATAGAAATTCACATGACACCCGTCCACGATAAAATATTTTCTCCTACAAGAATGGAACCAAGGGGAAGTAGAGGGAGTCCCGGATGAAAATCTCTGGTTAAAGTGGATGAAGTACACTGCTAGGGCCTTGGGGGAGACCAATTATTATGCATGCTCCATTGGGCGACTGACAATGTTGACCGCCCCAGTGCCAAAGGAAATGTTTACCTGTGTATTAGACCTGGGGTCCAATCAAAAACAGCACAATTGCACAGGAATTGGGCTAGCAAAGTTGACTTACTCGGCTAGCCCACCTAGGTTCACTTTAACTCCTGGCGAATACCAGTGTTACAGACATAGAAATGGCACCCGTAACTTGGGTGATTTTGATGGCTGTAAGGAGATAATTAATGTGACTGATTTAGAAAAGGAAGGGAGGGAAAAAATTAGGAGCCTAACCATCCCTCTGACTGATGTGTGGTGGGCATGCACTAACAAAGGGAGCATTCGGCAGACATTACCAGAGGGATGGGTGGGTACTTGTGCACCAGTATTGTTGGTCCAACCTGTAAGAATTAGTCATCAAAGACCAGTGAAAGGAAGAATAATCAGGAGGAGGAGAAATATAGGTCAGGAAGGAAATAGCCCAATTTGGATAGATGGTATAGGCATCCCCAGGGGTGTTCCAGACGAATACAAAGCTATGAATCAAATATGGGAGGGTTTTACCACAAAACTTTTCTGGTGGGTGACAATAAACAAGAATGTGGATTGGATAAATTATATCTATTACAACCAACAACTATTTATTAACCAGACTAGAGATGCAGTAAAGGGGATCTCCGAGCAATTATCCGCCATCCCACTCATGACTTAGTAAAAGAGGTTGGCTCTAGATCAGGCAGAAAGGGCCAATGTCTATAGAATGATAAGCCATTGTTGCACATGTATCACTAACAACACCACACTGGATGGGACAGTCACCAGAGCTCTTGCAGAATTAACTGCACTAAGTGAAGAATGAACTGAGAACTCAGAAGTTAGTACATCGTGGATAGGGTGGTTTGATGAAATGTTTGGTAAATGGAAAACCATAGCAGCCACCATCTTAGGGGCGGTCAGTGTTTGTATGGGTATTCTTGTATTATGTGGTTGTTGTCTTGTTCCCTGTGTCCGAGGATTGGTGAGTATGGCGTTGGTGAAATGCAGTATCTCAACAATGATGAGAGATGGAACCGACTCCGGACTCTGACCAGGGGAATGTGAAAAACGATCCTCCAGGCTTGGTGGATAACGAGTATTTTGACCCTGAAAGACCGCCATTGGATGAAATGTTTATTAGTTCTGACGTAATCTCTGAGATTAATCATGCTTGTAAAATACATTTATCCTGAATGTGATTGATAGATTAATTTGTATTTTAAGAATAATGACTAAAGGATTTCACCCCAAATACAGTATAAATGTGTGAACGGTGTTAGAGTTATAATGTAGTTTCAACCCACTAACAGAGGGGGAGGAGTTAGAAACTGCTGAGAAAGCATTCCAGGGTGAAGGGGACTGAGAAGCTGTGTAAAGGTGGGCGGAGCAAAGTGCCTTTGTGTGTCAGGGGGTATAAAGGCTGTGTATGTATTTTTTGGCGCCAGAGCTCTCCATGAATAAAAATACAGATCATTCTTGCTGGTTACGGACCTTTGTTTAATTCATGATTAAACCAGAGAATTTACACCCTCTGGGAATTATTCAGAGCATTAAGTTTGATTAATTAGAGATAGAAATTCTCGTGACAGTTATATGGACTAACTCTTTGTGAAATAATAGGGGTTAACATTCCTCTGTCCCCCTATACATACATCTGTAAGGCCCCTCAGTCAATACTTATCAAATCAAGGTGTATTAGTCTTTTATTTTTCATTCATCTTTAAAAAAGGTTAGACATTTTCTTCCACTTTGACATTATAGAGTGTTTTGTGTAGATCGTTGACAATTTTTTTTCAATTAAATCCATTTTAATCCCACTATGTAACACAATAAAATGTGAAGAAATCCAAGGGGGGTGAATATTTATGATGCCCACTGTAGACCACAGGCACTTGATAGTCAATAAAGTATTCCACAAAGAGCATAAACACCTGCAGCTACTCATATAGGAGCGAACAAGCAAAGAAATGCACAAGCATTCTGTCAGTTGCCATCCTTGGTCACCTTGGTCACAACTAACTGTGTACCCACTGCTACAGCCCCCTGTGTTCCCCCTATACAGGGTCCATGTTAGGAAGAAGTCCTGATGAGACTGAGGCTGTCCTAATATGGACACCGTACCCCCCATTTAAAAATAATCAGTAGGTCCCCGCGGTGCTCACTGTGGTATAGCTGAGCTTGGACATGGACGAAGGACCCATAGTCCCCGTCACTGTCATCTCATCATCCTGCCTCCCCCGGCGGCGCCGACAGCAGGGCGGGCGGCACTGGGCGAAGGTGGTGAGCAACGCCTTGCGGAAGCGTGTATTCATAAAACAATAGATAATGGGGTTGACGCACGCCGATGTGTAGCTCAACAGGTGGATGAACGAGATGGGTACCCCCGAGAGGAGCCGGTGGGCTGAGCTGATGTGGAAAGCCTTCCACGTGTTGGCCGTGTACAGGGGCATCCAGCAGACAAAGAAGAGGACGGCAGTGACGACGAGCATGTGGATCACACGCTTCTTGGCCAAGAGTTTAGCCTCCGAGGTATTGCTACGAGGGTGCTCGGCGGACGCTCTGGGTTTGGGAGGGGCCGGGATAGGGGTGGTGAGGGTGGACAGCTCCATGGATGGTAGCTTCTTCGGCATCTGGATGTAGCAGCCGTCATCGTCTGTGTCGTTGTTGCAGGTGGTCACGGTGGTGTTTACGCCATTCTTCAGTGCTGTGGAATGTACATGGAAGTGTGTAAGTGTGTCTAAATTGGGTGTAAGTGTGTAGGTGAGTGTAAGTGCGTAGGTTGAAGACAGGAGTACATGACTAATAATAGCATGAGCAAAGAGTTGGTAACATAAGCCTGCACAGTGTGGAACATGCATTCACAAACAAATAGGCCTTATAAGAAAATAGTTACTGTATGAATGCAAAACCCTTACCCTGGCCCCAGCCTCATCGTTGCCTGTTTTAAAAACCCTAATCCCAGTCCTTGCCCTCATTGCTTCTGCCCAGTACAACCCTATTTCAAAACCACAATCCCTAACCCAAAACCTCAACTTCACTTATATAACTTTCAATTTGTAACAAACAAATGAGATGTTCAATCAAATCCATGGCAGGAGATACATGTGGTGTAGGAGTCTCACCACTGCTCTCTCTGTTTTGGTCCAGCTCAAACTTCATCCCCCGGTACAGCTCTCTGGAGATGAGTCCATAGGCAATGATCATCACCACCCCAGGAATGACGAACAAGATTAAAAGCAACAGCATGTACCTGAGAAAGAGAAAGGAAAAGATGGAGAGAAAGAAAAAGAGGGAAAAGGAGAAAAATATGGAGGTAGAGAAAGAGGTAGAGAAAGAGGGAGAGAGAGGGACAGGGAAGCCAGACAGGATGAAAAAAAGTGACTTTGATCATCGCGGTCATAACAGAAAACAGAATTATATTTCAATGGTGGTCATTAACATTTTTCCAATTATCTTTTCATCAATCCGGATACTATCAATTTGGCCATATACAAAAAAAGTACAAATCCACTATTGTTCCTTCCACACACTTTGAGAATTAGTAGAGAGGAAGCCCTTATTTTGTGTTGTGTGAAATTCTAATGGGTGCGTGGGTGTTTTCCTCTGAACATCCTCCTTGGATGGTTCCTTTTTCATCTCCCATCAGCCTTTGCAGCAGATTCTCATTCATTCATTAACGCAGCCTCTGATACTCAAAGCTTTTCATCAGTACTCTGTTTGATAGTGGGTCACACATCAGGGGTGGGGGGACAAAAGGTGACCAGAAGGAGGGACATACAGAGAGGAATAGAGGTTAGAGGTTTCGGTTAATCTTTTGTTTAGTCTTTGATCCTGATCCTCTATCGTCAGAGAAGAACATGGAAGGGGGCGAGGAACAGGTGCTACACTAATATTTCAGTTTCACATGATTTGTGACTCGTTTCAGGTAACTAGGCGTATGTCGCCTGTCACTACTTCACAGGAGAGTCATTTGAAAGTAAACTTTTTCATTTTTATCAAAATGCATTTTTTGGCAGAAAATGCCTTCTGGAACGTGAACTTTCATGTGCCTTAATAACAAACTTTTATCCCATCTGTAAATATGAATACAATTGTTAAATTACAAGCCTAGTTGGTTTAGCCATAGAAAAAGAAAGCAACCTTCCCGCTAGCCATGATTGGCTGAGATAATGAGTGGGCTGGACATGCCGAGAGATCGATTAAATTAAATTGTTGCCAGCAGCACAGTTGCAGTCACCAACGCTCTGAATAACATAAAAACAGCCTAACCAGCTCTACTAGGGCGAGTAAAATGGTCAGAGTGAGCTGTTCTCTCATTTGTGCCTGGAAGTAACTAGCAAGCTAGCCAAGATTAACTTGGGTGCTTGAATGCTGTTGTTAGGACAGAACGCTCGGATCAACCCTACTCCTCGGCCAGAGCGTCCAGTGTGTGCTCTGAACGCTCCGAGAGCGAAACGCTCTGAATAAAACAAACAGACAATCTGACAACGCTCTGAGTTACAGTCGGGGCTATAGCTTAAGAGGGTGTGAACGATGCTGAATGTGTGTAGACAAAGTAGAGCTCTCCAGTGGGTGTATCAAAACATTCAAAGGTCTTTTTCTCAAAGGTGAGGTTACTAGTTTAGCAACTTTCAAAGCAGAATTACTTTCCCATTGATCCTCAACTGTAGTGTGTGATATACCATGTAAAAATCCATGTAAAAAATCACAATTTCAAATTTTGCTACATAAGACCGAATCGAGCCAGTCGGTCACATTTGAGGATTCTTCATGGCCGGCACCGTTAGTAGGCATAATCATAATTACACACCCTGTATCATTTGCCAATTTGGGGAGTAGCCCGTAATGGATTCAAATAGTCCCTGTGACTGTCAGTCCAACACCTTAGCCATTACACCAAGAGGTTCGGACTCAAAGAGGTCACCAGAAGTACAAAAGCACCAAGGTCACAAGTTATGTTTCAATAGCATATTTTCTGAAGTATATTGTAGTAATTCATCCACTGTCATCACTGCTTTGATCATTTTCTGCATATCAATTCAACATTATAATGTCAATCCAATTAAAAGGATTGTGCCTGCCACTGTTAAGAGATATATCCCCAAAGGACTCTTACGGTTTCAAGGTATGCCTGGAAATCAAATCTCAGCAAGATTAGCAGCTACCTGGATGTCACAATTAGCTGGAGAACTCAGACAGACTTCTCCACCTCTCAAGAGGGATATAATAATTTGTCTCTCTCTCTCTCTCTCTCTCTCTCTCTCTCTCTCTCTCTCTCTCTCTCTCTCTCTCTCTCTCTCTCTCTCTCTCATTATCTCTCTCTCTCTCTTGGCAGGGTTTTTGACAGACAGTGCAAGACAAGACCACAATCAGAGACGTTTGCAGATAGAGAGAATAGTAGTGTGAAAGAAAATAAGAGACTGAGGCTGTCCTAATATGGACATCGTACCCCCAGCCCCATTTAATGAGATTATTTAGTGTAAAAGATAAGAAGTACAGTCTGGAGGAGAGAAACGAGAGAGCTGTATTAGGCTGGGGAGTACCCCTGGAGAATCTCAATCTTTCTTTAATTCCTCTGCTCTACAGCCTCTCCGTTTGTTTAATGGGCAAATTGATGCCCATTAAAAAATAAAAAAGCCTTGCCTTGAACTGCAGATACTTGGGCAGTGGAGCTTTATTCAAGCTATATTACTAATCTTAGACCAGTGTTTAATAAACTGTTGGTCTTTAGAGTGGAATTACCTTCTAAAACTGCTTCTCTAGCCCTGAAGCAATGCAAACTAATCCACCTACAAATATAATTGCTTTGCCTTAGATGTTGCTGTGGTGCTCCTAAATGTCCAGCTATGACGATTCTGTTCACAGTCTAGCAGGGGGAAGAGGGAGGACATTACTTTAGGGCACATTTTATGTCAGTGGAAATATAATGAAAATAGCATCAAATGCTTCATTGCTTCCCTGAGCAGAAATGGAAAAAAAGCAAATATTTATTTTTAAACAAATATATTCATTAAAAGCAATCAGACATAAAAACAAACCGAACAAACCCAAGATACTTTTTTGAACAAGGGACTGGCAATCTATGTTACCTCCTTTGATGACTGCTTACTTTGAAACTACCACTCGAGAACTGACTTAATTAGTGTCAGGAAACTATCTAGGGGACCAGTTCTGACCACTGCACTAGAGTTCTCCAGTCAGAAACTCACTCACCATGTCTGTTCCACCCCACCACTTGGCCATTCCAGGCGGCACATGTGTCCTGTGGTTCGGTCGGGTTTGGGGAACGACTTGAGGTGGCTAAACACTGGGTAGGGCACCATGATGACTAACGACAACACCCAGATGGCGGCGACGACCCGGTAGGCGTGGGAACGAGTCTGCCACGCCCGCGATTTCAGCGGGTTGCAGATGGCGCTGTACCTCTCGATCGCTATGGCGACCAGGCTGAAGGTGGAGATGCTGACGGAGAGCCCTATGGAAACGCAGGGAAGGGGGAGGGGACAATAAGAGAGGGATCGCAATGACAGTATCAACAGTGGTCAGACATGGGTTCAAATAGTACTTGTTTTCTTTCTTTCTGTCTAGAGTGCCAGATGGACGGGGTTTTCACTTTTGGGACAATTCCAATGTCTCCATTGCGGAAGGCAAGTTCAATTAAGCATGGAAAACATATTTGAAAGAAAACAAATACTATATTAACAGGTCTAATAGTGATACACATGTTCTATGTATTTGAGCAGGCTTGCCACATCACAGAGATGCCCGTAGCCCACCACAAAAGTAAAGACAAATGATGAAGTATCTTTACCTTATCATTAAGTCAAGACATGAAGTGCATTACATTCCAGACAAATAGGCTCACACTGTTGGAATCACACCATTGTTGTGCTGTCCTGCTCAACGTTAGATCTCTAAAGTGCATTATAATACCCAAGGACACCCTTGCAATTTGGTTCAAACTTGAGTGAAAAGCCTTTAGTGAAAATCTCCAGCCCAAACTGTGTTTGCCTACATGAATATTCATGAAGCTGCACTGAGGGAGTGCGCTCAATCCGTCTGCAGTCAGACAAGGAGTCGGCAGTGAAGACAAATAGCATTAATAAAGGCATACTGTACCTGCACTAAACCGGCAGCCATTACCCACACCCTGAGACTCCCTCTAATATATTCCATCCACTAATCCTCCCTCCTCAGAAAGATCCACAACTTCAATCCAAGACCCACCGTTAGTACTCATACACTATTTCACAATCACAGAAATTATTTGTTTTCGCACTACATTTCTCTGATTAGCAGAAGGCTGCATCCACTGAGGCAATCATTTCATAAGCAACATTTTATTTATTGATTTTTTTGCACGCACAGACACACACACACACACACACAGACACACAGAACAGCAAATATGATCCGCTTGAGGTTTGGAAACCCCAGCTTTATACTGAGCACTCGGCAGTATATTTTCCTAAGCACTATAGGCAACGTGCATTCCATGCTAAGATAATAGAACTCTACTCTACCCCTCTGAAGTGAAGATTGTAAAGCTATGTGCTCTGTGCTCAAATAACATCTTAAATCAGCATACAGTACAATAGTATCGCTTTAATCTCTTACTGGGAACTAATTAAATTCTAGTCTAATGTTTTTAAATATTTTTTTTTATTTAACCTTTATTTAACTAGGTGAGTCAGTTAAGAACAAATACTTTTTTACAATGACGTCCTACCAAGAGCCAAAAGGCCTCCTGCGGGGATGGGGGCTGGGATTAAAAATAAAAATGTAGGACAAAACACACATCATGACGAGAGACACCACAACACTACATAAAGAGTGACCTAAGACAACAACACAGCATGGCAGCAACACATGACAACACAGCATGGTAGCAACACAACATGACAACAACACGGTAGCATCACAACATGGCATTAGCACAACACGGTAGCAGCACAAACATGTTACAAACATTGTTGGGCACAGCCAACAGCACAAAGAGCAAAAAGGTAGAGACAATAAAACATCACGCGAAGCAGCCACAAGTGTCAGTAAGAGTGTCCATGATTGAGTCTTTCAATGTAGAGATGGAGATAAAAATGTCCAGTTTGAGGGTTTTTTACAGCTCGTTCCAGTCGCTAACTGCAGCAAATTGATCACATTCAAGGAGACAAAGAGAATCGCCCTCAATACGCCAACTAAATTCAATTAGCTACCGGTAGAAGCTTGACTATAACTTTGGAGGAAATGTCTTCTTTTGTTCAATTTTTACCCATGTTTAAGTATCTGCAGGATCTGTATCATCACTTTGTTGCAGACCTGGGTTCAAATAGTATTTGAAATCTTTCAAATACTTAAGCTGTGCTTGATTGAACTTTCCTGGCACAATGGAACCAATGGAATACTCCCAAAAGTGCAAACCCTGCAAATCTGGCACTCTAGGCAAGCCGAAGGAAATGATGCTGGTAACATTTTACATTAAGTTGCCCGTATTGTTATGTACTGTAACTAACACAGTAATAACTGTGTTAACAACATAGTAGTTACATAGGTTTTACTATGTAATTAGATGGTAATAGGGTTGTTGCAGAATCAGTTATCACACAATTGGAACAAGGAATGTGTATTACACATTCAGTTGCTAAAGGTTATTCCACATGTGAAACTACTGATATTTCACATTCTCTTGTTCAACTATGTAACTAATGTTTTGTAATTACACATTTGAACGTCATTTGTGAATTAACATGTTAATAACTCAAACCAACATATGACCATGTTACATAACTACAAGGTGCCACTACTATAGAATCCACATTTAATACCAGGGTTGATAAATAGGCTAGAACCTGGTAACAACAATTGTAACAAGGCACACCCTGTCATTAACTACCGCTCATTTTCAATTTGTTTATTTCTATGTTATGACCTGGCTCAAAGGCTATACCAAATCAAGTGCGATCTAAGAACAATTTAGTTACATATGATATACTGGTAACTATCATGTACCTACCCAGGAGCAAGCAACTTAATGTAAAGTGAAAACCAGTAGGGTATAACCTTTATAAGTACTATGTACTATAGTTACAATGTAACAACCTTTGGAGACAATAGGCTAACCAGGAGAAATTAGGAGACAGGAGAACATTAGGTTTAACCCTTTTAGTTACATTGTACAATGTAACAATCTTTAACAACCAACTCTGTAATTACAATGTTGTTTCAAGGGACATACATATATTTAAAATTTACTTACCCAGGAGCAAGCAACTTAATGTAAAATTAAGTGACATTTAATTACTTTGTAGTTACAATGTAACAACCTTTACTGACAGTAGGCTAACCTGGAGAAATAAGGAGACAGGAGAACATTTTTCAGTTTGACTTTTCTTTAATGGATTTGACAAAGATTCATATTCAAACCATTCAAATTCAATTCCCCATTTCAGACTCAAAGCAACAATTATTTTAGTTATTAAAACATACTAACACAGGGTGGTGGTAAAGCTAGCTAAAAATAAGAAGACAGAAGAATGCTGGGATGTCACCAGAAGGTGACATCAAACTGAAATCTCACCTCTCACTCTCTGCAGCCAAAATGGAAGCCGTATGCTATTTCTGCCTCTTAATTTGTCGTGTTTTTAAAGGTTTGTAATGTGCAAAAGTGCAATGTAAGTGTCAAAAATAGTGAAATAACATTGTAAACTAAATGTTTCATAAGTGCTATGTTGATTTAGCAACTTTTATTAACCGAAAAAGTGTTGACATTAGGATACCAGTGCCAAGCTTGCCATCTAGCTAGCAGTCGCAAGGACTGCATTCTAGCAGTCGTAAGGACAAAGATTCAGCAGGAGGCAGGCAGGTAGAGGTGCAAATGAGTGTTCGATTAATTTACACAGCACTGGTGTTTCAAAGATGACGGTGATATTTACAAATATACAGTACCAGTCAAAAGTTTGGACACACCTACTCATTCAAGGGTTTTTCTTTATTTTTACTATTTTCTACATTGTAGAATAATAGTGAAGACATCAAAACTATGAAATAAACCATATGGAATCAGGTAGTAACCAAAAATGTGTTAAACAAATCAAAATATATATTATATATTTGAGATTCTTCAAATAGCCACCCTTTGCCTTGATGGCAGCTTTGCACACTCTTGGCATTCTCTCAACCAGCTTCACCTGGAATGCTTTTCCAACAGTCTTGAAGGAGTTCCCACATATGCTTGTCACAAGCCGGGCTAGAACTCCGGTCTCAGATGTGGAAAGCTGGGGGTACTACCCCTTAGCCACAGAGGAGGTGTTGTAGGACCCAAATGAAACACCCAAGGCAATACTCCAGGTAAGTTGATTTAATGTTCCAAAACAGGAGGCAAAACAAAACAACTCCACGAGGGGAGAAAAACAAACTAAAGATAACTTCGAACAGCTTACTAGGACAGACACGGTGGGACAAAGCAGGAGACACATAGTCAGGACGCAATAACCAAGTGAGAAACAAGGGGAAAACACACAGCTAAAATACTAAAGGGAAAACAAGGCACAGGTGACCTGGATCAAACTAATGAGGACACACGAGGAAGAACTAAGGCAGAGGGGAACACAGCTGACCTCTAGAGGCCCGGAGACAAACAGGAGAAGCAGGAAGCTGACAGGACCCCCTCCTCTAGGAACGACTCCTGACGTTCCTTCCAGAACACCCTGGCCCCCGGGTGCGAAAATCTCGGATCAACCCTGGGTCCAGGATGTCCCTGGCTGGAACCCAGGAGCGCTCCTCTGGCCCGTAGCCCTCCCAGTCCACCAGATACTGCAGAGAGTTCTGGACCCTCCGGGAGTCCAGTATCCGGCGGACTGTGTAGGCTGGCTGGCCGTCAATGATCCTGGGAGGTGGCGGGGGTCTGCGTGGGGGGGCAAAGGGAGAAGACAAGACAGGTTTAATAAGTGAAACATGGAAAGTGGGGTTAATTCTAAGGGAACGAGGGAGAACCAAACGATAAGACACAGGGTTAACCTTTCTAGCAATGCGGAAAGGGCCGATGTATCTCTGGGAAAGCTTCTTGGACTCGACCCGGAGGGGCAGGTTCTTAGTGGCCAACCAAACTCTCTGACCAGCTCGGAAACTAGGGGCCGTCCGGCGGTGGCGATTAGCCTGACTTTGGTATCTCTGGGAGGTCCGAAGGAGGGCACGCCTGGCCTTCTTCCAGGTCCGCCTACAGCGTTGGACAAAGCGCTGGGCCGAGGGAACACCAACTTGCGCCTCCTCCTCTGGAAATAATGGAGGGTTGTAACCGAACTGGCATTCGAAGGGGGACAATCCGGTGGCTGAGGACTGGAGGGTGTTGTGGGCATATTCAGCCCAAATGATATAGGTGGCCCAAGACGTGGGATTACTGGCCGCCATACACCGCAGGGTGGTCTCCAGATCCTGATTAATCCGTTCCGTTTGACCATTAGACTCTGGATGGAACCCC